TCTCAACCACTCACCCAACCCAAAAACGTCTATTTTGTTGCGGTTTGTGACGCACACCCACACTCAGCCAATCATGCTGCGTAGAGGAGCAAGCCCCCAAGCGTATTCTTTGAGTCATACTTGTGCAACCCATTTGTGTGGTCTCGCTCATTGACTAGCGATTTAGTCGCAGATGCTGCGTGAATATCAATGCCATCCAGACTTAGCTTTTGCCCTCTCCAATATTTAAATTTGGGCCGCAGTTTATCCGGCTGACGAATTCATTTGGAGCCCGGTTGAATGCAGCCAGTGCCAAATTCAGGAACAATTTTTGCCTCTTACTTGCCGCTGCTAGGGCAGCGGCTGCAACCGAGGTTCGACGATATTCATTCTGCATCTGCAACAGCTTGCTCAAAGGTAGAGGAGTCAGGATATGTGGGTAAGACCTTTTCGGCTTAGGTAGTATTCACAATAGATACTATTTTCTCATCCACAAACACGGACTAAACGCAATGCAGTTGGTGGCATCTACTCAAAAATACACAGAAGCTTTTGATGTTGATCCTCACCACTGTGACCTGTTTTCATTTATTTTCAGGTTGCGCTCAAAGCTGTACACCCTGCGACAACTTGACGGTGCATATGTGGTGGCAAACAGCCAAGTTGCTAAGTATTATATTTTGCTGTCAACTAAATAGTTTCCAACAGAATTATCAAAGAGGAACCCTGATGCACAACTAGTTAGGTGGCACCCCTGATGTAAATTATCCAACAGAAATGGGACTTGAAAACGGAGAGTTGCTCAACTCTCCTGCAGATATATTGTGGCCTTCTTTGTTCCACACATAATTGGACGGCTCCGATGCCTGACAAAATATTGCTGCATCTTTATGCTTCTGAAATACGCCGACCGGATTTAAATTGTCCTTTAGTGACGACCGGCTACCAGAGCTGCGCAACTCCACACCCAATTTCAGCTGAATCAGTGGACCGCATGGAAGGCGATTTGTTTCGTTTCAATCTTGACGATGGTGGACTGTGTTCTCAGTGATCAGAGAACGATATGGTTTACATTGTGTTGGGGTGAATTTTGTTTAATGGTTTGACCACCGTTTTGTGTTCAACAGTTTTTAACATTTGGCGGATACGATCGCCGTGTGTAGTTGAGTAGTTGTGATTGAGAGTCCGCTTTATACGTCACATCAGGTTGGTCGTTGTTGTTTGCGCGGTGAGTTTAGATGACTCGGATGTGGCAGCTAAAAGGAACCACGGTTACTTGTCCAAATGACGGACTGTGATCTTGACTCACTGCTCCTCGTACCCGAAGTAGTCCTGTTGGTGGTTGGTTCAGGTGAGTGTCATCGTGTGCACACGAAGACTGGTTTTGGCTACTTTGGTTACTCTCTGCTGTGTCTTGAGTATACTCCATGATATTTGACCGCTTTTGTCACCATAACTCTCGGATTGACATTTTGACTTTTCAGATAAGCTGGTGATCACTGAGGCATACGGCTAAAACGTGGGTTACAGTGGGCATAATTATGGAAGAAAGCACTACCCGGAATTGATTAGCATTACCGTCCCGTTTACTCTCTGATCTTTAGTCCTGGAAATGTGTTGTACATCCGGAATTTTGTTAGGTTGTGTGAAGGCCTGATAGCCAACAAATCGATGTAATCTAATGCACTGCTCAATTGATTCCATGTATATGAATGTGAATATGAACGTGAATATGTACATGACTATTCGTTCTTCCCTGGGTGCATGTTGGAATGTGTATATATGCTCCGTTCTGTTACCAGGTTGATGGGGACTTTCACGGATTTGTGAAACTGTACTTTGTTTAAAGGTCTTGCATTATGTCCAGTCTCATGTTATGAATCCTGAGCGGAATCGCCCATAAATGTGTTACAGGCTCTGGTACCAATTTGCGCACATTTTACCACTCCGGTGGTTGTACATCTCAGAAAATGGTACCCATTTTCATTCACTCAGGCGAAGCGTAAACGAGATGATGTACGGACACTACCATACAGCTTTGTTTTCTCATCAACCTGCATTCGAGAACTAGGGAATAGCCGATATCATCTCGACGGTTTAGCGAAGTCGTCTCATATTTTACGACCAACCTAATCACAAACGCTGACAAGGATTAAGCTAAGTGGCGTATCACGCACGACAAATTGATAGGCACTGTAACCAGGGACTAGCGGTTCTCCCCTTCGAAACAACTGTACTGGAGTGCTGGGGTGTAAATCTCGTGAATCCCGTTCATACACCTCGGCGCTCTGTCTCAGTGTTTGAAGCTGGCGAACGATGTGCATAAATGAAGTGACCGACGGAATTTTAGGATTGCGTTTTGGCAGATGTGATGAGCTGACACGGCATCGCGGTAACCACCGTGCTTCAGTGACTACGGGCGCACCTGCTATGAAATTGTCATATCAGTGCTCGTACAAGAAAACCGACACACAATGACAGTACAATAGCACGAAGCTTTTGATAAGCGTGATCGAATTTCAGCTTTACTCTGGAAATGTCCTATGTCGTTGACATTGATTTAGATGGTTCCATTTTGAATCTGGATGTGCACTTCACATAACTTCACATTACAGCAGGTAACCACTCCGAGTGAATAGAAAATGAGAACTTCACTAAGTGAATAGATTCACTCGTTGCAGGAGGGTCTCTGTGACGAGCCAAATTTGGGTATATCTCCTTAAGTTATCGGTGCCTATATGTGGTGGGATCACAATATCAATTGTTGTTCTAGCTGACTCGAAAACACATGGTTAACCTGGAGCTTTATGCCCAGGTACCGAATAGTTGAGGTGGCTCAAGCAGTGCAAACCACTATCTCCCTCGTTCAATCACGGCGTATTTGTTATCACCCGAGCAGTTGTTCCGCCTATCCACAGATACTCGTTTATGCTTGACGCCTGAGTATTCTCAAGCATCAAAACACTCACAACTCAATTGATCTGATATTTACGATCAGAGTAAGTGATGGTCGTGGCCCTCATTCGCTAAATTGTTCGCCCCAACAAAGTAACTGGTAAGCCACATGTTGATTCAAATTAGTGATAAGATCGCAAGCACCAGAAACTATCCAAAATGAATCCTTCGCGGAAAAGATGTGCGACCGAATTCCCGACGTTGCGCTTACTGCTCACACTGACTCTGTGCATGTTGCACCATATGTCACAGTCTCCACTTGACTGATTTTTAATAATTATGTCTTTGTCAGTACTATGGTGGGATGTCAAAACCCATGCGCTATAAATTCGGCTGCATTCCTGGAAAATGCGGAGGACAATTTTGTGGTGGACAACACAGGCATGGTCACATGTCTGCCTCAAGCGAACAAGTCACACGTTGATTTAATGGATTAATACGGTCGCAAGCGCAAGAAACCAGCCAGAAAGGAAACCTTCGCGAGAAAGATGTGCGACCGCATTCCTCACACTGCGCTCACTCCTCACAACAGGTTGACTGGCTTGTAATCAGAACACCGTAGAACTCTGTGGGTTGCAAATGTGGCTGATGTATACTTAGAAAACTTCGAAGTGTAATTTTGGGATGGACAGTACATACACGGTTACTTGTCTGTCGTAAAATGTTAATTTCTCATTCTAATTCTTAAAGCGAATCTTCAAACCTAGCGTTCCTGCTTAAAACCAGCATCGGAGGTGCACAGCGTGGATGACCACCCACACCTGATCAAATACGTATGCCAAATGCGTCGTACGTATTTTTTTATGCGGCGTCAAAATTTTCGAAATTTCTAAACCTTCTGCGTGACCTCCGGACTATGATGGGCTGTGGGTCCAGAGTTCAGGCTGGTCGGAGATACTGGACGCAAAGGCCGCCCGATCTGTTGGTCAGTCGCGTGCGAGAAGTCGTCTTAGCCACACCAGCGTCCAACTGCGAGTGTTTGAGAGGTATGTGTATGGAATTTGATGTGTGACATGGAGGGCGTATTGCAAGCGGCCTAAAAACGAATGACATTTCATGTTAACGATGTGCGCTCTACTTGGTTACAAAATATTGTGTACATCACTCACTTGGGGAAGAATTTGGTTCATAGCGCAAGAAGCAGTTTAGATCTGCTCTGTCCACCACTATACAAGAAGGCGAATGACTGAGGGAATCACTTCGGTATGCATCGGTTGCCACGTGTA